AATCCACACCAAATGTAATGCATTTTTATGAGGCTAAAGGGTCAAATAGGTACATGAACTAACTTAAAGTGTTCAATTAGCCCCTTATTTAGGAGGTTCTGTCCGGCCGTCGCCAATTGGGGCGGTTTCTGATGGAATTTTTTGATGAAATGTTTTGAGCATCTTCTTCATTAAGTCTAGTTTACCCATATCAAATTTCAGCTAAAAATTAAATCGGGAAGGCAGACAAATGATATTCCGAAATGTATTGCGTTGTTTAACTGTGCAGTTATCTTCAAAAAATCATTTGAATGCCTTCCCGGTTGAATATTTATCTGAACTTTGGTATGCATAAACAAGACTTAATGAAGAAGATGCTCAAAACAATTCATCAAAAAATTCCACTGGGAACCACCCCAATTGGCGACGGCCGAGCAGAACTTCCTACATAAGGGGCTAATTGAACACTTTAAGTTAGTTCATGTACCTATTTGACCCTTTAGCCTTTTTATGATTATCAACACCGGTAAAAGGAGCAAAAACCATGTTATACCTGTATTGTGAAAGAAATAATTAAAAGTGCATCCATTACTCAAGATAGGTGCAGCATATGCGAGAAGGTAATGTAACAAAAGTGACACATACATAGATATAAGAATATACGTGTGATGGATCAGATATTTAATTAAGATAAAAGTGCATCAAAAACTCAGGAAAGGTGCGACAAATATACAAGTTTATGTCAGACAAGTAACTCATACATGAGTATAAGAATATCAGTGTGAGGGATCAGCAATTTTACATAAAAGAAAGTAAGATTAGTTTTACTAACAAAAACAGAATGAAAAGAAAAATTACCGATTTGTCTCATAAGTAGCATCAAAAGAAACAACATCCCCAAATAAAGCATAGTTCCTTATGCAAACTGGATCAGCCCAAAATATGCGTGTCAATTGATCACTCTCATTGACATCATAGTCAAAAGCAAAGGCTGAGCAAACCTCTTTCTTTCTGAAAAGTTTATCTATCAGCATTTGAGCATCCACGCCAACTACGTACGCCTTCAAGTCACGTTTAAAATTCTAAAAATCAATGGACGTGGCTCCTATATTGGAATAGCCCCCGACAGTTTCTTTATACAATCGATAACATCTTGTTGTACCGATATTTGCTTTAACACAATTGAGGAAAAACTTTTGATGACCAATATCTAGTTTCCTATTCACGTTTAAAAAGGCATGGAAGAACTAGATGCCATACAATGGTTATGGTTCTCTTCAAACAATGTAACCACGTATGTGTTGGTGTCAGCAAGCCTAAGCACTAAACGTGCTTTACATCCAATCCTATTGGAAACTCGACGTCTCTTTTTATCATCATCAACACAGAGGGCAAGAGTTTGTAAATCTTGACGAGAAGGTTGCCCATCAATTTCATCTCCTTCGGATTCTGATGACTCATTTTCATGATTTAACTCATTATTTGCATCTTCATTAATGCAACCAGAGTTGTTATGTGTGGTTTTGCAACGATCGTTGTTAGATGCATCCTTGCGGGATTTAGATACATTTTTGAATCCCTCCCTATTACATACCAAATATCTCCAAACAATAACACCATCAGGAGCCTTTGATGAACTAAAAATACGTGTTTCAAAACCACACACTGATGCATAATCATCATAAAATACCTTAGCTTCACGCAGGTTGTTGAAAAACATACCAACACACGGTTTGACAGCGGAATCACACTCGGGTGTCCAATACATAGTGGATCCAGGTGAAAGGTGCATTGTTTGAACATCAACGGGCTGGGAAATTGCAGAAGAAGCACTGAAAACAACATCATTTGAATCTGAATGAAAAAGCAAAACATTTGTGCACATAATCATTCATCAAAATAAAATGTCATTGCAGTAAAAAACAATTAATTGGAATCTGAATAAAAGTAAAAACATTTCTTCAAATAAAGTAGAAGTGCATTACGTAAACATTTTCAGCAGCATGATGCAAAATGGAGTGCATTGAATCAACTTTTGAACTACATTGTTATTAAAAAAAATTAAGAATTTTATACAAATGCAAAGACACATCAATGTCAAATGTGCATCATGGGAAAGCATTTGGCAGCATTATAACACTGAATATATTAACTAAGCATATGCATTAATTTGAATCTGAATTAAAAGTAAAAACATTTAATCATATAAACATAATTCACAAATACAGTGCATTATGTAGCACATGAATGAACATCTAAATAATTAATGGAGTGCATCAAACATTTCATTATGAACTGTATACAAATAAACTAGAAGTGCATTATGTAAAAAAAAATTCAAAACCATGATGCAAAATGGAGTGCATTGAATAAACTGTTGAACTCCATTCTTATGTAAAAATAATTATATAAATTAAAAAACACATCAAAGACAAAGTGCATCATGGGAAAACATTTGACAGCATCACAATAATACTTTGATTCCTCCAGCAAAATGGAGTCGAACTAGGCAACTTTTAACTTTCAAGAATTTCACATGCATTAACGATGTACAAATATAAAAAAAGAGGGGTAGAGAATTGTTTACAAAATATTCACCAAATACATCAAAAATATTGAAAGAATCGAAGAGCACATAAAAAACCAAAATAATGACAACATAACAAAGAACAGAGGAGCGATGCTAACCGGTTTCCATGGCAGAAATGTGTATGACGAAGTGCGCCGGAATTGGATTGACAGACAGGGACGATGGAGAAGACTGACTCACGAAACCGGTACAGAAAGGAAAGAGAAAAGAAGCAAAAATCGAACGATGATCAATAAGGAAAGGGAATTTGAGAAACGGTTATGGAAAGAATGAATGTGCGTAAATAAAGAAAGGGCTTAGTACGTGCGTAGGTTTCAAAAATAAAATTACATGAATAACTTCTAGAATGCAAAGTTGCACGTGAGATTCAGTGCAAGATTGGAGGCTGATCTCCATTCTTATTTCTTTCCTGAGATACTATTCTCATTTGAACACAAATCTATATATATATATATATATATATATATATATATATATATATATATATATATATGTTTTGGTTCAAACAAGAACACGATCTTATGAGAGAAATGAGAACGAATCTAGACCGTTAGATTTGCTTCAAGTGAAATTCAGTGTGCATTAGATGAAACTGTAATGTGCATTATGTGCAATTGAAATGTGCATCACAAAAGGTACGATAGAGTGACATTATGTGCGGTTGAATTGTGCATTACATCAAATTGAAATGTGCACTAGGTGAAACTGAAATGTGCAGAATAAAGAGAACGATGTGATGTTGTTTTTTACTTTTTTTCGCACATATCAGTTTCATCTAATACACACTTGAGTTTAAATTTTTATTTTGCACATTTCAATATCATTTAATGCACATTTTAGTTTCACCAAATGCACAATTTGGTTCCACCTAATACAATCCAACGGTCCAGAATCGTTCTCATTTTTCTCCTAAGATCTGTTCTTACCGGAACTGCTCCCTATATATATATATATATATATATATATATATAGGGTAAGGATCAAATGAGAATACCATCTTAGGAGAGAAATGATAATGAGTTTGGAGCGTTGGATTTGAGCATTGTGCATCATGTAAAACAGAAACGTGCATATAAAAAAATGAAAAATGTGCATTTCGTCTGTGCAAAATTTTAAACGTAAATGTGCACGTTAGAATTTTGCATTACTTTAACTATAAATGTGCAATTTTGTGAAAGATGAAGTGCATCGTTTTGGAGCGTTCTCATTTCTCACGTTAAGGAGTGTTCTCACCGGAAACGCACCCTATATATATATATATATATATATATATATATATATATATATATATATATACCCCAAAACTCCAAAACGATGCACTTCATCTTTCACAAAACATGTAGTGCTTAAAAAAACATATAATATAAAGATGCACATTGTGAACTTCAATATTCAATACAAATAATATGCAGCACTTTGAACTTCAATATGCAATACAAATAATGTAAAGATGCATAGTTTGTGACAGTTTGTAGGTTAGCATTAGAGGACTAGTTTGTATGTGATGCCATATATATAGACTAGTGTTCCGGTCAGGTCTTCCAGACCGGAACCGCCGTCCGGCCGACGGCTTTTGGGGCCCTTCCCGGTGGCTTTTTTTGATGAAATTTTTATGGCATGTTCTTCATCAAGTCTAGTTTATTCTCAAAACATTCAGCCAAAAAATCAATCCGGAAAGTTGTCAAATGATTTTTAAGTTAACTACGCAAATAAATACATATAAAACGCAGTTAACTTCCAAAATTCATTTGATGACCTTCTAGATTGAGTTTTTATCTGATTTTTTTGTGGATAAACTAGACTTGATGAAGAACATGCCATAAATATTTCATTAAAAAAAGCCACCGGGAAGGACCCCAAAAGCCATCGGCCGGACGGCGGTTCTGGTCTGGAGTTCCGGACCTGAACATTTGTCTATATATATACTCCCCCCGTCCCATAAAATAAGTCTCATTTTCCTTTTTGAGCCGTCCCAAAAAATTGTTCCAATTTCCCTTTTTGGAAAGTTTTGTTTGTCTAACATTCATTTACTTTTTTCTTACTCAACCACAATCATACATTTTCCCTTTATTCCTACTTTCTTAAACTCCGATCCAAATTGAAATAAGACTTATTTTATGGGACGGAGGGAGTATATTACAAATTGTTCGATGTTCGGCTCGATTTAAGGTTTTTCAATTTTAAATCAAATCAAACTAAACCATTAGATTTGAGCAAATTATTACCAAACGATTTAAATAAGTCAATCCAAATCAAACCAAACCACCCATTTTCAGTTGGATTTGAGCTCTGGCCGTACGACACTTGGCGTTAGTCCATTACATAGAATATTCTTTTTTTGTTACAATAATATGTAGTCCGTACTAATATTCCCGGACGAAAGTCCAAACGTCTACGGGTCGTTTGTTTTCAAACAAAAAAAGTACCACGTTCTGTCTTCGAAAAGTAGACTCCCAGCTGGCCCATTTGTACGTACGTGTCATCTTATAGCCGCATACCCAAATTTGTACGGTGACAGTAGTAGCCATGGCCAAAAATGCTAATGACTTGATGGAATACTTCCTGGAGAATGACGATGAAGGTGATGTTGAGGATAATCCAAACACAAGCGGTGGTGATGATGATGACGATGATGATAAAGGTGGAGATGATTGTGGTGCTCAAAAGTTGCCTTCCTCTTCGTCTTCGTCTCCATTCTTCTCCCAGCAATGGCCTCAGAGTTTCAGGTTTTTTATCTTCTTATGCGCCCCCGCGGCTGCGCCGTTTTCTCTGTTTAGCTTTCACTTGTTTACAATGTTATCCGCTCAAATAATTGTACGGAAACCTATTTATGTGTAGTCAGTTTTGTTGTTTCTAGTGTCCGTTTTGAATGTCAAAATTTGAAAAATTTGCGACTCGTGTTAAGAGATTAATCTCACATTGAATAGGTATAAGCATATCAAGTCTTAGAACTGTTAATGAGAAGAGTGATATGAGAGTTTCTAAATTTTAAACAAGCAATTCAGTACCGTTAAAACTCCTCAAAGCAGGCAGATTTCATGATTAATGTACGATATACACCGTCTCAAGTGGAATAATTGTGAAATCCCATCTCAAGGGAGCTTCTAGATTCATGATATTTATGCATTCGTATCCAGGACAATGCGTAGGATTAACCAAACTTCTTGTCCATGGTTCAAAGTCGATGCTGTTAGTTAGTGCCTCATTCCCTTAACATTTTATGATTGATAGGGAAACGATTGACTCATACTCAATTGCTGCATCACCAAACCTAGGCCTTTTGAGGCGTGGATCGAGCTCCACAGTTTTACCTTATGATACAAATAAAAGGTTTATTAACTCTGATGAAAAGACACGTTTTCTCTCTGGAGCTACAAAACCCATCCAGAACAGTTTTGGGGATGGAATCTCATCAAAACAGTCATCATACTATGAAAAAGCTGCTTTTCATGAAAAACTCACAGGGGAGCTTCCTCTTAGCCATGGATGTAGCTTCACGCAAACGGTAATAAATGGTAAGTCAGTAAGGAGTAGACAGTAATATCTTTCAAAAGTAAATATATGAATCTGCATTCTCATATCACTCTCTAATAATTTCTGATTCAGGGCTCAATGTCATGGCTGGAATTGGCCTTCTTTCTACTCCTTTCACTGTAAAAGCAGCTGGCTGGGCTAGCATTGTGGTTTTGGTATTTTTTGCTGTTACTTGTTGCTATACAGCGTCTCTTATGAAGCATTGTTTTGAGAGCAAAGATGGCATGGCAACTTATCCTGATATGGGTGAAGCTGCGTTCGGAAGATGTGGGCGCATTATCACATCTGTAAGTTTTGAATCTAATAAAATTCCATTGAGATCATTCAACTAGATTTGAATGCACATGGATTAAACCACACTAAGAGCTTGTATCCAATTGGTTAGGTAGTATTGCTCAACACCTTATAAAGTGTTGTATTTCTTTTTAATATTTGGATGTGTAACTCAAGCTTAATAGAGTCCCTAAACTGTGAACCCGAAAAACTATTGGTTCAGTTTAGATTAATATCACTTTTTTCTTCGGTTCATTTATCTTGAACAGTGATACCATTCAATCAACCTGGTTTGGTTTTTTATATTAGCTGACATTATGCTGCATTTGCTTTGTGTACAGATGCTTTTGTTTACGGAATTATATGTAAGTGAATATCGCATTCAGTTTATTAGCGCTTCTCAGCATGATTTTATGGCTTACAGATATTATTTTGTACTATTTTAGACATACTGTGTAGAGTTTATCATATTGGAGGGAGATAATCTCACAACTTTATTTCCTGGAGCTTCCTTCAACTGGAATGGTCTAAATCTTGATTCTACACATTTATTTGGACTTCTAACTGCTCTGATAGTTCTACCAACCCTCTTTTTGAGGGATGTTCGGTTAATATCATATCTTTCAGGTGACATATCGATTTCCCTTTTTTGAATCGTTAAGGTCATGCTTGGGTCATGGAAAATTCTGGGAAAATTTGCTATGGAAATAGGTGTACTTATGTTTAATTAGTTGTACCATGTAAATTGTAAAGGGAAATGATGTATGATCATTTTAAACAAAGCTGCATATATAGTCTTTTAATAATCGACATAATTAAATCATCAAATTCTCATCTATGTTTTCATTTGTATTATCATTCCCTGGTATTTTCTGGAATACAAACAGACCCTGAAAGTGTAGCTCTCCGGCAATATAACCTGATATGATAATAATTTCTTCATGCTGCAGCTTGTGGTGTTGTTGCAACTATAGCCATTGTAGTTTCTGTAGCATTACTCAGTGCTGTAGATGGTATTGGAACTCCCCAAACAGGTCAATTGGTGAATTGGAGTGGCATCCCGTTTGCTATTGGTGTGTACGGATTTTGTTATTCTGGACACTCTGTCTTCCCCAATATCTACCAATCAATGGCCAACAAAAAACAATTCACTAAGGCAATGATCATTTGGTATGGAATGCAGTTTCATTTAGATGCTAAGAAGTACCCTTTTAGCATAATTGATGTAATCCACACCAGTTCATATATAATCTGGTTTAAGGGATGGACTTCTTTACCCTATGGCCTGGGTTCTAACTTCTAAACTTTAGGCTCATACGCCAATTCTTATACTCTGTATGTTGTTTCGGTTTTTGGGCTTTATAAAAATAATGCTGTAGTATCTGGTCATGCAGCTTTGTTTTGTGTGTTGCACTATATGGGAGTGTGGCAGTAATGGGATATCTATTGTACGGTCAGAGCACGCTGTCTCAGATCACTCTGAATATGTCGCCTGATTCTATTCCTTCAAAGATTGCTGTGTGGACAACGGCATGTGTTTGGCTCCTACATAACTAGATTGCTTTCTTAGTAGCTTAGACTCATCAATGCCTTTTCTGGTTATTTTATATGCTTATTGTTATTGTTTTCAACAGATTATCAACCCTTTCACAAAATATGCACTTATGATGAATCCACTGGCTAGAGCCCTTGAGGAGTTGCTGCCAGAGAGAATATCAAGTAGCTTCTTGTGTTTTGTTATGCTAAGGACATTGCTTCTCATTTCAACTGTTTGTGTTGCATTTCTTCTTCCTTTCTTTGGTATGCATATTGACCCCAACCAAAATTTTCTTCTGATTTTGTGCCTTACATTAAAGGAAAGAATTCTGGTCAACATAACATGCACTCTCGAATCTTGATTAATTTTACTTAACTTGGAAGGAGCTAAATATATTTAAGTTTTATGATGCAAACTCAAATGATTGGTCTCTTATAAGACATAAGCGTAAGTATGGTACTCCAGACATTAAAAAATTCATTCAAAATCCCAGTCATGCCAAAAGTAGGTTTTTAATTATTTTATAATCTTCCTTTCACTTTTACTCTCCTATAGGATTTTCACGGAATTTAGAGTAAAATAACAGGGGAGCTTTTAATGTAGAAAAATGATATGAACTTCAAAGTTTTCATGTCATTCTTTATCTTAGTTCATATATATGAATATAAGAACTTCACCTAATCACCTTCACGTACCAATAGTGACATTGCTATGAGAGAATTTTTGAGTGGACTCTACAAGAGTTCATTCATTGAAATATTCCTATATTTTTTCATAAAAGCTAATACCAATGGAGCAATAGTCTTTACTGAAATTGGGCTACACCCATGCATGCCATAACATGAAAAGTTACACGTGTTGCAGGCCTTGTGATGGCTTTAATCGGCTCTCTTCTCAGTATATTACTGGTAAGCACATCTCCTAAATTATCTTCACCTTTAATCCCAAGTATGATAGGGTCAGGTTCATGAAAATTATTGTGTTAACTATGCTTCCTTGCCTCCTTGGAGATAACAATAAGTTGTCAGTGTCTGGAAAGGCTTGTGCAGTTATAGTTGCTCCATATCTACTCAAATATTTGATATATAAATCTCTATGAGATGAGATGAAAGTTTTTGTGAACCAATGCTGGTGTTATTATTTCAGGCGGTTATAGTACCGAGTGTGTGTTTTCTGAAGATCATGGGTAAGAAAGTTACAAAGACACAGGTAATTAAGACAACTTCAACTTTGCTTGAGGATTACTGCGCATTAATATTTTTCTGGGCGTTGCAAGTCTGACATCATCTAACATGTTATTACTAGTTAATTTTGTACCCTATGTGATGTTATGCTTTTATATTTTTATTGAAAATTTTCACCCTTCGATTATTGTGTGAGAGATACTTTTAATCCTCTCCTTTAAAATTATCCACATTTAGTCCATTGAGTATTGTGAAATCCACACAGTTAGTACTTCTACTATGATTTTGGCACAATAAGTGGATAACTAAAAATGTCACTATGATAATAATTGAAATTCGAAGACTAAATATGGAAAATTTTAAAGATGGCTACCAAGAATGTCATCCACACAATATTAAAGGCTAAAACTGAAAAAGTTCCAAGTTAAGTATCAAAAGTGTCATCCACATAATAGTCGGAGTGTAAAAGAGAACAATAAACATCTTTACTTGATTAGTACCATGTCTTCTCGTTATAGTAGACCTGAAAAGGTTTTACTTTTTATATGTGGCACCCCAAAGAAAGTGAGTTGTTTACTCTAAATCATTCTGTTTTTAACATTTTTTATTGTTTAAACAACCTCTATCATTTAATCCTAGGGATGGACCCAGACCGATTCCAGTCCAGCTGTGGTTACTAACATGCTGTTTCTCGGTCCCCCGCCTGCTAGAACCAAGACTGAGGCTTGGAACTTCGGATCCAGGTCCAGTTTGTGTACCGGTCGTCCAATTCCATTTTTTAGCCAAGGTCGGGAAGTGTGCCCGGATTGGTCTGGTTTTGGACACCGGTCCTGGTATAGTCAAATAGCTGTCTGGCTCTAGTCCAGTTTCATAACTGGATTCTAGTCCACTCCCTCCTAGTTGCATCATATTGCTACTTTGTCCACTCTAGTCCGGAGTAATATTCACACGGATTGGCATTCTTATAGCCCTCCTATTGACACGATTGGATGAATATTGAACCCTGACGCAGGACAAAAATTTAAAACTGTTTAATAGCCTGAGTATCAATTTTTTTATATTCTTATTTTGTTGACACTTTCTTCTCCCAATTCTTTTTGGCTGCAGAGGGCTATTAGTATTGCAGTAGTGATTGTGGGCATCATAAGTGCAGCTCTGGGGACATATTCTTCTGTCTCAAAAATCGTAAAGCAATATTGATTGAAAATCGAGACAAAAGTTGCAATCAAGTTTTCCTTTTTCCTATCAATGGTTCTCACCTTATACTACGTATCACGTATGTAATAATAATAATACATCGCGTGCTAGTTGAGTTTCCCATTATTGTCCAACTTACAAAAATCGAAGTTAAACCTTCGGCATGGAGGTTTTTCAAAAATAATACTCTCACCCTCCTGAAATACCGAATTGAATTGCAAACTTTGACCGGTACAAGGAATAAGGAATGACAATAAATGATACTTGTTTGTTACACTTTTGTCCATCTTTCTAAAAGTATATGCTTTTACGTTAATCGAAAAAAAGTAAAAGTAAGGGTAAATTTGTCACTTTATTCTTATTTACATATCTAAAATAGAAAGTGGAAAACCATTTTGGGACAACCAAAATAGGAAATTTTGCAAATCAAATTTGGACGGAGGGAGTATTCAAATAAAAGTTAAGTTACTATGATTAAATTACTACTATAACCACTATAGTTAAGAAGTCACATTTTTTAGATAACATATACTTTAGTCTGCGTAATTATTTCTTTTATTTATATAGTAACTACTTCCTCCATTCTTTTTTAATTTCAACGGTCAACTTTGCACATTTGTCAGCACACATCTTTGACCGTAGATATATCTTGTTTTCTATTATTATAAATTTTTTAAAAATCAGATTTTGAAATTTGTAATGAGATTAATTGAACAATATTTTTTTTAAAAAAAATAATTTTCATAAAATAATAGTGCAAAATGTAGTCAAAGTAGAGCATGTGAATAGTGTAAAATTCAACGTGTTGTGATTAGAAAAAAGTAGGATATCATTAGGCAATAAAATATTAATTTTGAAATTTATATTAATCAATAAAAATAAATGTATAATCGAGTTTAAAATAATGGACAATGCCCTATTAATCAATAAATTCATAGGGCATCTCTATTGCTAAGATGAATTGCTATTTGACATCAATCAATGAACTCTTTTTTAACAAATGTAGTCTCTAATGTGAAAAAGTATGGATCTAGGATATTTTTACTTGGAATGTTCTCAATCTCAAAACGAATCAGACCATGTTATGTTGACAATCACAAAAGAGAGACAGAGTCTTGCATGAGGTCCATATAGATACCTTCGGTCTCATCTTTGATGGGAAAGAACACACAACAAATGCAAATAATAAAATGTAAAAATGCTCAGTAGTGGTAAGTAGTTGGACTCGCATTTCATTTTTTCTTAATCTAATAATTACCAAGTTCTTTTGCATTGATTCGCCAAGCAATATTGATTGGAAATTGTGACAAAAGTTGCAATTTTATTTCCCTTTTTGCTATCAATGGCTCACACCTTATGTAATAAGTACTAGACTCAATACCAGTGCGATGAACGGGTACATCTAGAGCATGATGACAATTTGTTTAAAATTAACTTTTATTTTAATGGTACGTAATATGCAATTATTTTAAATAAAAAATATAGTAGAGTTTATATGTTGTAACTTCGATTATATAATGGTAGTTTGAAGGAAAGAGGGTACATATGATCACGTTGATGGTATGTACTACTTGATAATGAAATATCATGATTCCACAAAAAAGCTTTATAATGATGATAGCACGACTCTCTTAATCACATAGAAGAATGCTTAACTTACTAATTGAGGTGACCCTTGACATGATAACGTACAAGTGGTTTCTTAAGATAAACTCTTGGCATGACAACATACAAGTGACGATGCGTAAAAAAATTTTGATTGATATATACTGCTTGACACAAAGATTGTAATTGGATTATCTTTATTATTGTGGCAAATGAAATGATGATTTGAATTTGAATGCATTCAAATTCGAAAGAAGTTATGATATCCAATGAGACGAATGATAACCTTGAAATTAAAACCTATTGACCAATATTTTTGTTAAGTACTACCTCCATCCCGGTGGACAAAATTGTGTGGTAGAGATTTGTGCAGAGGAGAGAGAAATGTAAAGAACCACAAATTAGTTGCTTTAATAGGAGAATGACAAAGGTTTTTGGGACAACCATAAAGGAGAAATTGACAAAGTCCAATGAGACAGAGGGAGTATAACTTTCGCCTCCAAAACATCTCCATATATGACATTGTAAGTATTTTCATTTCCTATTTTGAGCACCAAAGTTGAGAAACGTTTCAATTCATCGACTTTATAATGTGAAAAAGAGCAACTCGCCTAATTTTTTGTTGAAGTGATCGCGTGAAAATGTATCCAAAGATGTGAGACATTTATGGTAGCATAAGAATTTATCTAATGATAAATTATTAGATAAATTCATAGCAGAGAAGTCTACTCTATGATTCAAAAATCAATGACATGTCAAGTCATGACATGGATAGGAGCTGAGTCAAGTAAGATTGCATTAGAAGTGTCATCTGTGTGTAACATATGTTACTTAAAACGATCATTATTTCAAAAATAGACAAAAGTGTTGAATATTACCGCTTACTGTTAGTAAGGTTGATAAAGCTAATAAGTTGAAAACTAAGGTTATCAAACAATCCCTAAGCTTATTGAATAAGTTAATGATAGTCATATTGAGAAAGTTTCAAAATGAATGTCATATAATATGTAACACCATTATTGCTTTCATTGGGCGGGAAAAAGTCCTACCTTAATAATAAATATAATGATTATCGCAATTGAATATAGAAAAATTAAAAAACTTTAATAAACTAAGCTATCAAAACTAAAGCGTTTCTTATTTTTAATAGTGTAAAATTTTGAAATGTTGTTCCTGTTTAATTAGAGCCTGTATGGTAACATCAAAATTGGCTGAATCGGTTGATTCTACTAAATTTGATGAGGTTCTGGCGGAAGTGGCTGAATCTACCTAACTATTAAAAAAGATACGGAGTATTTAGTAATAAAGTAATGAAAAAATTATATGAGAATGGTTAAAACAAATGATCCTTTACGATAATTTCAGCTAATTCAATTAGAAAGGTAACTACAGTCAACAACCTTACTTATTTTGATTATTACGAACACAATTCAGTGTGATGTTAAGAGTAACGCGTTTGATAAAAATTTGGCTAATAAAGTTGATAAGCCGAAAACAAAAGTCACTAAATGGACTTTTAGAATCTTCTATAAATTCCCCTCTGATGTATAAAGATAACATCATTCTATAGATTAAATAAAGTTATTTTTTTCCCAATAATTATTGGCTAAAAGGTCAAATAGGTACATGAACTAACTTAAAGTGTTCAATTAGCCCCTTAGGAGGTTCTGCTCGGCCATCGCCAATTGGGGAAGTTCCCGGGAAGGCAGTCAAATGATTTTTTGAAGATAACTGCGCAGTTAAACAGCGCAGTACATTTCGGAAAATCATTTGACAGTCTTCCCGATTTAATTTTTAGCTGAAATTTGATATGGGTAAACTAGACTTAATGAAGAAGTTGCTCAAAAAAATTCATCAAAAAATTTTACCGGAAACCGCCCCAATTGGCGACGGTCGGGCAGAACCTCCTATATAAGGGGCTAATTGAACACTTTAAGTTAGTTCATGTATCTATTTGATCCATTAGCCATAATTATTTAGTTAATTAATTTTCATACAACACCAACAACAACATCCAAGCCTTAGTCCCAAAAGATATTGGGGAGTTAATTAATTTTCATAAATGAAATAAAAACACATAAGAGTGAATGTTCTTTTAAACTTATTTTGATTTCGGGCTTGGTCAATGAGTTTTTTTTTACCAAAATAATGTTATACAAAAAATGAGTAAATTCCCTAAATAATAGTAAAAAAGTTTTGAAATTTCAAAATAGGACTATCATATTTTTATTCATTAAATAGGAGTATATTTCTGCGAAGTTATTACTAGGCTTTTAAACATATCATTTTTTTTCAAACTTGACAGATTACTCCTATTCAAGGAATGAAAAACATGATACTCCTATTTTGGAATTTCAAAGTGTTTTTACTCCTATTTAGCGCAATTTTTTTTTTTACTAAATTAGGGTCATGTTAAACGTATTTCCCAAAATAGTCATGAGGTAAACCCAGTTAAGAGAATTGTCACTTGAGTTGGCAGCTTAGCGAAAAAATAAGAGAAAACTGTCAAATAAATCCCCGTACTATTGTAAAAAAGGCAATCAAATCCTCCTACTAAATTGTCATTCAATCAAGTCCATGTACTTGTAAAAAACGCTCAAATTGGCTATCTAGCTGGTGAATGCCAAGTTTATCCGGTTAAAGCACTCACGTGGCGTCCATGTGGCTATAAGTCCGTCCATTTGCTAAATTGACCAATAATTAGCCTCCACATCATGACTTTAGCTAAACTGTCCGTCCTTCGCCATTTGGGGTGGTTTCCGGTGGAATGTTTGATGAATTTTTTTGAGTATCTTCTTCATTAAGTCTAGTTTATTCATACCAAATTTCTGCTAAAAATTCAATCGGGAAGGCAGTCAAGTGAATTGCGCAGTTAGACATCGCAATATATTTCAGAAAATCATTTGACTGCCTTCTCGATTGAATTTTTAGCTGAAATTTGGTATGGGTAAACTAGACTTAATGAAGAAGATGCTCAAAAACTTTCATCAAAAAATTCCATCGGAAACCGCCCCAAATGACGCCCCAATCAGTAAGGGGACACACCAAAATAAAATCTCATGTTTGCTTTAAAATGTCATAACTTTTTAATTTATAGTCCTATTGTAACAAAATATATATCAAGATTCACAACGTTTATTTTCTTTCATATGACACCAATATTGAATATATAAAATACAAAAAACTTAACACTTTAAAAAAACATGTATTTTTTAAAGTATTGTAACTTTTTTATATGATCGTAATTTTATTCTTTCATATGACACCAATGTTTTTTAAAATATACTCTGATTGTTACAAAAAATATATCAAAATCCATATTTTTTTATTCTTTCATATGACACCAATGTTTCTTATATAAAAAAATATACTCCCTCCGTTTCTGAAACAAGTTCCATATTTGACTTCACACATATTAAGAAAATAAATTTGACTTTACTGTAGATTGCACTGTTTGGCACTGTTTGAACACTGTTTGGCACTGTTTGAACACTGTTTGACACTGTTTTGATGTAGATAATTTGCCAAATAAGGAAATGTTTGAAAGTGGAACTTAATTTTGAATCTGCCCGAAAAGGAAAGGTGGAACATGTTTCAGAAACGGAGAGAGTATTAATTTGTGTAATTTGGGATCGTAATATTTTTAAGGTGCACACTATTAACCCGGAGTGATAGCTTCG